AGCGCCACAGAATCTGTTGCTGAAGATAATTGTCTTCTTTCCAACTGTAGGCGAAGACAATGTCCTCGTAATTGAACGCTCCGTTGAGTTGTATTTTGCGTTTATTACAGAACTGTTCCCCAGATTTACCATCACTTCCATCACCACTACTGTTATGACTATCGCATCCAATCAGTGACACAAACAGTGACCACAATATAACTGTTAATCGCATTTCTAATGAGATTTTAATGTATTAACAAATTATTGGTTCATTCAAAACGATTTGTATTTCTTTTGCATAAAAAGTAATTTTCAAAAAGTAATTCAATAATTACTTTAAACGTGACATTAATTACTAATTATTAAATACATAAATTCATAATTAAAATGACATTTAGCTTATTTGCGAATTTAGAAATAATTTTCAAAAAATTTAAAATATTGTGAAAATATGGATGTCTTGAGATCTAATGAAAAACTCGACAAAATCAATAATAAGACGGCTTTAATCATAATTATGACAATTATTGTGACCGCAGTTATTGTTAACATATTTTCACTCCAAGTGTTTACTAAATCTCAATAAATAATAAAAACAAATAAAATTCTGGGTTTTGTTTCGTAAAAATCATTTTAATTAAAATTATGAAATGAAATACAAATGAATTAAACATTAATTATAAAACGATTGCAATTTTGATCACATTTAAACAAATTGGTGACAATTTGACTGAAATCTATGCTTTTAATTGAAAACTTTAGACAAAAATATTTTTAGTTCAAAGACTTAAAGCGATACTCAATTTTGGGATAATTAGTGACAAAACTATTGAAAGCCGTTTCTGTGGTATCATTAGTGCCGATGAGATACAGGCGTCGGATATGTGTCAGTCCTGACAATGCATTCAAACCATCGTCGGTTAGGATCACTGGACTGAGTCTCAGATCCACGAGTTGTGGCAAATTGTGATCAATATTAGCGAAGAATGCGTCACTGATTGGAAGTGGTGCCCACTCGAAGTCCACTTTCAAATGTGTCAATCCTTTCAATTCATTCAACAAATCGCTGCTTACATGCAATCCATTGTTGGCAATGCCTTTCACTTCCAAACGCTTTAATTGTTTAAAGTTTTCATTAATTATTGGAAACACTTTTGGAAAATCAAAACAATTTATGGTAATCAGTGTTAGAGACATGAGTTGCGGACATTTGAGACCAATTTGTGGCAATAATTGATCCCAACCTTCAAATTCTGGATAATAGTATATCTTGAGTGCAATCAATGCCGACATTCGTGACAATCCATGCGATAGTCTGTTAACCACATTAGCGCTCAAACGTCTCAAAAATTGTGAATCCAAAACAATTGTCTTTAATTTGTGGCCATAAGTATCGGCCAACAAATCAAATGCATTCAAATGATTGTCAATTGAGTTATCATTCAAACCATTAATCCATATTTTAATACAATTGAGTCGTTTGTAATGCAATTCATTTCCAACACTCAATGCGAGCCGTATTCGCGACAACTCTTCAAATGTAACTTTAATTTGTGTTAAATTGACACACATTTCAAGCCATCCGTACATCAGATCCAGGGATACATTGTCGTCGAAATTAAACCGAATGTAATTCAATTGTTTGGCAAACTTTGCGAAATAGGGATCCATTGATCGGACGTTGTCTTTAGACACAGCCATATGAGTGGTATTCAATTGATGGCAATATTTAATCACTAATTGAATGAATGAATTGCTGGCAATCGATGAGTAGTAACTTCTTATCCGAATGCGTCTAATGTTTGGACACTTTGCAAGTATTGTCTCAATTGTGTCCAAATTGGTGTCATTTAAGTCGTCGTCGATCTCTAACACCGATTGACTCTTGAATACCACTCTTTGCCACTGTTTTGAGACACTTTCCCAACGAAACCGGTCTTTGAATGTCAGATAAGACAACAACTCTTCGCACAAATCGTCACCAAATCTATCGAAAGAGTCTTTGCTATAGTTTTCAGTCATTTTTGACACAAAATAACTTAAATTGAATTAAAACTGAATTTAAAATGTAATCAAATGAAGGAAAACACGTGTTTTCTATTCAACACTCAATTCAATGAGAGTTTCAGTTATTTTACGTGAATTTCAAATCACATGAAAAACTTATTCAATACTTATGTCACGAGTTGTCCACAAATTATACATTCACTAGCCAATAATTACGAATATATAGCCCGTACATTACAAATCGTAATTTATTATTTTTTGAAATAATTGAAATAATATTTTGTCAACATTAAAATTCACTAATTCACAGGTCGGTCAATGTATTTGCATTTATTGCATTTCAAGTGTAATTTGACGCTCCACTGACTCTAGCCTTAGCAGTGCTGCGCTTATCACTAATCCCATCAAATATTTTATTTTTTTATTTGAGTGTCTATTATATTAATTATACATTCATTAAAACAAACGGTTTATTGAATGTGAAAAAAGTTGTACAAAAACTTTTGCCACAAAAATAGTTGACAACAAAAGGGGAACTCATTTGTGGGCCAAAAGCGGACGTTATTTATGTCACACTAAAGGCATTTCACATGTATTTCTCCAACACTTGAATTCATTGATGAAATCATTGAATAGTCGTCTCATATATCGCTTGAGAAGTGGTAATCAATCCAACCGTCAAAACACTTCATCCGATCCGTTGAATTGATCCCAAAATGGCGGCCAATAATGGGTACCAAAGGTGTTGCGAGAGGACGACCGCAACCACACCATCGCTGGCCATCGCGTGTGGGAACCGCTGCCCGAAGACCACAATGAAAGACCGCTTGTCTTCACTCTACGACAATCACGTGATGGCAGACGTGGTCTTCATATGTCGCGCAAACGAGACACTAATGGCCCACAAACTGATCCTCGCGTTGGCGTCGCGTGTCTTCGACCAGTTGTTCAACCATTGCGTCAACGAATCCGCTCTGAAAGTGAGCGCCGAAGACGGCATGACTTACGTCGAGCTCAAGGACTGCCATATCGACGACTTGAGACCAGTTGTCCGATACATGTATACCGACGACGTCTGCGATATCACCGACGCTAATGTGGCGAACGTTGTCTTCTGGGCCAAGAAGTTGACGGTTCAGCCGGTGATCGACAAATGTGTGCACTTTTTGCGCGACAAAATCAATGCCAATAATTGTCTCAATTGGTGGACAAAACTGGCGCCAAAACTCGCGGACGAGACTCAGCTGATGGCCAGATGTCTTGAGATGATCGCCGCCAACGCTTCCAATCTATTTAAGAGTAAAGACATTATAAACGTATCGTTGAATGAGTTGAACGTATTGTTAGATCGAAACGATTTGGATATCAAAGAAGTGGATCTATTCAACGCCGCCATCCTTTGGTCGCGACAGCAATGTATCCGTCGAGGGCTGGTATGCGATGACCGCAATCTTCGGCAAACACTGGGCGTCGCCTTCGAGAAGATCCGCTTTCCAGTGATGTCTTCCGTCGATTTCGGACATATTGTCGACAAACATAAGGAACTGTTCGTTAAGGAAGAGTTGTGTTCACTCATAGCGTATATCAACGCCGGGGTATTACCGAAGACACGGCTGCCATTCAACGCCAGACTTCGAGAGCCCACTGAGTCGTTGCTATTCAATACATATCAACAGATGTGCTGTCCATCCAATCAGCCGTCGACAGCGTGTTGTTCTCCGACCACACCATTGGGTTAGTATTGAATCGATTAAACAATTGTTTGTCTTAATAATTGTCCAATTCTTGTGGTAATAGGGTATCAGACATATGTATGTTTGTGTCAGTCCTATACAGACTGCGGATTCAATGGTCACGTATTGACGTCTCCGACCCATTCATTGCATGTGTCATCTCTTATGCCACCGCCGCCTTCACAGCCGTATTCGCCCAACTTTGGTGGCTATGGACGCAAAGTATCTGCTCAGACATCACCTCCGGTTTGTCTATAGAAAACTAGTGAATGCTTTGAATTAATTGTTTGTTTGCGTTGTTTTAGGGCTTTAAAGAGAGAAAACGAGTCCCTCTGACCATAACTGACCCGAAATCTGGGCAACGATTAAATATTCAAGATTTGGCCGCAGGTTTGCAGCCATTTAATGCCAATCACGGCTCAACAGTTGGTCATCAAAATAATCATGTATTGTATTTAATTGTTAGCGTTTTATGCGCTGATTGTTGTTAATAATTATCTTGTATTTTATATATAGGAAAAGAAGATACAGATTGTGAACACCAGTGAAGTGACCGCAGAGGTTAGTGCTGTTGATTCAGAATGCGATTCACTTATTGTGTCCGAAGACTACACATCCGACGCAAGTCTCTAATTGTATTTATTGCTATTAATTATTTACTAAAGTATTATTTTTAGTCTTTACCGTAAATATAAAAATGTTTCCCAATTATTAATTCAGTAAATTTATACCAATAACGAGTAAATTGTGTTCACTTATCAAATGGTCCCTTAATATAAAATACCAATTATTTGATTTACAATTGATTATAAAATAATACAATTAATTCCTTAAAATAAATAATTTATTTCATTACAAAACATAACATGAATTGAAAAATTAATTTATAAATACACAGAGAGATTACGGACACAGAAAATAGGAGGTGTGAGGGGGGAGAGGGGAAGTGTGGGTGTGTGTGTTAGTGGGTGCCGGTGCCCAGCGATTGGGAGAGTGTCTTCATGATGAGGTCGAGGAGGGCGAGTATGGCTGTGACCAGCGATTTGTCGCATTGCAACGAACCCAACATAATCTTGAGCTTTTCGTTTTGGGTGTTTTCCAACAACTTCTTGACCACTTCGCAGATGAACTTCAACAGCGTTTCCGACACGTATATAATGCCCCAAATTATGTTTATGAGTACAGCCGACGGGCACTGACCGGTCGAGTACTTGGTCTCCTGTTCGGGCGACTCCTGTCTGTCCTCCAACTCCTGTTTCCAGAGGTCGATCTTCTTCTCCAAGTTGTCCAGTATTTGATAGTTTTTGCCCAAAACTGTTGTGAAGAGTAGCCCTAATATTATCACTTTTAGACACATTTTTGTTGAAGTTTTAGTCAAATGCTGTTTTGTTTGTTTTTGAAATGTTTTTGTGGTATATTTTGCGACCAAACTATGGCTTAAATATTTTCTAGATTATCGACTTTTATACCACTCATTAAAATTGTGAACGCGTTTTGCGAAAACATATTTTATACACAATTTAGCGAATTTAGTTTAAAATGTGTTTATAGTGTTATTGTTGGCAGCATTTTAATTAAGGCACTAATTATAAGTTCATTAAACTATTGAAATATAATGTATTAATTTTGTGCCGAAATGTTTGTGTGAAATAATAAAACAATTCCATCACTTATTTTGATACCTATTTTAATTACAATTTAAATCTATGGCAAAAAGCATTGGATTTTAAATTATTTTGTGGAAATGTTTGGGATTTAATCAATACAATTGGATATAATCTGTTTAATGCAAATAATTTGATAAATAAACTAAAATTTTTATACAAATCGATTTCATCATTATAATACAGTAGTTGATTGCATACAAGTTATAAAATTGTAAATGTATCTCAAAATGTATACCGTAATTAATTATTAATTATTTATGGTGATTTATTTGAGTAATTTTTAAGTTAAATTAATATTTTATTTTATAATTTAATAGCAATTTTATAATTAAATGATTTGATTAAACATGAAATTAGTGACAAAATTTACAAAATAAATATTTTTATTGACGACAACACAAGAAATGACAAGAATTACAACAAAACAAACATTGAAAACATAGAATAGGATGTGAGGGGACAGGCATTGGGAGATCACTACCAGATCTGAATCAATAAATTAAGCAAAATGTTGACAACACCGAGAATGCCGTTCGTCTTGAGCACATCCAACACTTCCCGTAAGGGATCGGTTGCGCTAATCATCGACAATAACTGGTCGACCAGTTGGCAGACGGCCTTCAATAGGCTGATGAGCACACGGATGACAATCTCGATGAGATTGATGATGGGTTTGCAGCTACAGGTGCCCCAACTCTTGACGGCCTGTGTGTTGGCCGTCTGGTTCTTCCAGGCCTCGATCTTTTCGTCTAAATTCTCCAACAGTTTCAAGTCCTGAGCCATAATCAGATGGACAGTCAGTCCCAGTAATAGGAATTTCAAATACATTTTGTGGTTTTGTTTTGTTTGGTTAAGAAATTTGTCGCTCAATTCAATTGATCGTATTTTTTACGGCAAAAAAACTATTCAAATAAGTGTTAAATTGTATACTGTTTTAGATTTTATAGCTTTTGTGCACATTTTTCTCATTATGACATCACTATTGCTTTTAATCTGTATTTTTGTGGACATTTTATGAACAGATTTTTCTCTAATATGGCATACATTTGATCCGATTTTTAAATAAGTTTTGTATTATACCCGGCGTTCAGTTCATTCAACTCAATCGCTTGTGTTTTGTTTTAATTCAATTGAATTTAAGTCTTACACATAAAAACTTGATCACAATTTATTATTAAAAATAATCAATACATGTTTTTTGTTTGCGTAAAATTCCTATCCCTTTCATATCTAACTTCTTATAAATAGATTATTGTTTATTCAATTAAATCTTTTATATTTTGTTTTAATATGATTTTGTTGTGAATTTTAATTGAAAAATTAATGATCACTTATGAGATAATCTGAATACTAAATACCATTTATAATGAATGCATTAATTGTGTTCTGTTTAGGATATCATTATAGAGTAATTTAAACTAACTAAACTCTCTTAAAACGTAACTTATACTTTATGTGATTTATATCGTAATCGAGATAACTGTGTATAAAGAGTGATTAAAACGATATTTCAGATAAATTAAATAATATTTTCATTTTATTTATTAATTAACTTAACTTTTATTTCTACTAAAACATTAAGTTCATTAAACTCTCATTAAATGATAAATTTTAGTTAATATTAAAAACAATCTGTTTTTGTGCCGGAGATGAAAGTCAAGGATTTGATAAATAGTTATCATAATTAGGAGTTAATTAACGGTTATATATGTTATATAAGTGTTATGTTTTAGATGTTGTAAATTATTAAAGGGTTTTGGGTTTGAGTTGGTATTTATTGCCCGTTTGTACAATATTTTTATAACTTATTATTTTTATATCGTTAAGATTTTTAGTATTAATTTTTAATCATGTATGAAATGTAAATATCCAGAACATCGTTGTCACTTTGCATTTAATATTTTTGTAAACGAGTTACATTTGTAACTTTTGCACTTTAATTATACCGCAAAATCCTTTTATTTTAAATTAAATTTTTAATAATTTAATTAATATTTAGTTTTATAAAATTAATTAAGAAAATGTGCAACGTAATTGCATGTTTATAAAAAATATTTTAACAAGATTTCAATATTAAATGTCTAAATATCTTAAAATATAATTGATTACAAATAATCTCTCTCTCTCTCTCTCTCTCTCTCTATCTCT